ATCATGTCAACTATTATATTGGTTGACCCATAATTTCTGGCCGAATTTCAACACTTTGATTCATTCAAGTTTTATCTCACCTAAAGAACAATTGATCAGAAAGATAACCACCATCGTTATCACTAATCACCTCACCTGTATCACCTGTCGTCCCGTTGATCGTCGATTTGCTCGAGCGGGCGCCAGCAACGTCTCCATTCGTCCCTGTCGCGTGCTAGAGTGGTCCAGTGGATCCTCCTTGCTCGAGGGACACGAAGTCCATCATTCCTTTCGTTCAGAGCTTTCGTGAAGAAGTCTGACCATCGGGCCGGCGGTCGTCCAGGTGTTCGTTTGACGTCCCGAGGGATCCAGTCGGTAACCGCTCTGGTCCAACGGTCATCGCAAAATCGCATGACGTGTCCGGCCCACCTTATCTTCGATTCCTTGGCGAAAACGGCAGCGTCCCTGATCTTCGATCGTTGGCGTAGTTCCGAACTCCGGATTCCCCTCTGCACTTGCGTGTATAGGGTTACTCCTAGCATCGTCCTCTCGACAGCGCGTTGGATAACGCTGACCGCATGCTCGTCCTGCCTGCGCAGAGTCCAAGTCTCTGAGGCGTAGGTTAGGGCAGGAAGGACAGCGGAATCGAAGAGGTGGGCACGGAGCCGGATGTTCTTCGTCTTCTTCACTACTCCCTCGATGTTCTTGTACGCTCCCCAAGCCGCTCGTTTCCTCCTGCTCAGCTCTGGAGCTAGATCGTTCATCATATTGATTTCCCGACCTAGGTACACGTAGCTGGAGCATTCGGTGATGTTCGTTCCGTTGAGCGTGAATGGGGCATCAGGAACCAATCCGTTTCTCATAAACATCGTCTTCGTTAGGTTCAGCTGTAGACCAACCTTACCACAGGCGCAGTCGAAATCAGCCAGCATTCGCTCCGCTTGCTCGATGTTCGGCGTTATAAGAACGATGTCGTCAGCAAAACGAAGGTGGTGTAGTTGCCGGCCGTCGACCTTCACTCCCATGTCTTCCCATTCCAGTTGACGCATGACGTTCTCGAGAGCGGCGCTGAAGAGTTTGGGCGAGATGGTGTCGCCCTGTCGGACCCCTCTCTTGACGTCGATGATGACCTCCTTGTAGAATGGTGAGATTCTGGTCGTAAAGTTGCTGTAGAGCTCACGAAGAATCTTGATGTACTGAGTAGGGACGCCCTGGTTGCCCAAGGCTTCGATGACCGCTTCTGTCTCCACAGAGTCGAAGGCCTTCTTCAAGTCGATGAACGTGAGACAAAGCGGCATCTTGTATGGTCGATCGTGCTGAACCCTCTTCGGAACCCTGCTTGCTCGCATGGCTGTCCTTCATCTAGTATTCTGCCGATCCTGTTAAGGATGACTCGAGTGAATAGCTTGTAGATTACAGACAGCAGGCAGATTGGGCGATAGTTGCCAATGTCGTCCAAGTCTCCCTTCTTGTACAGCAACACGGTCCTGCTGGTTTTCCACGGAGTGGGTACCTTGCATTCCGACAGGTAGCGCGTGAAGAGTCGAGCCAGAGTTTTGATGATAACTGGCGGTGCATTCTTCAGATGTTCCGGTTTAACCCTGTCGAGACCGGGTGCTGTACAATTCTTCACCGACTTGATGGCGTGTCGGACTTCGGAAGAGAGAACTGAGGGACAACGTATCCATCCCTCTTGCGGTTGATAAGTAGGCAGATGGACATGGCTATCGAAGAGATCCGAGTAGAAGTCGTGGATGACTTTCTCCATTGCCCTTCGGGATGCAGTAACTGTTCCATCCGGACGTCGGAGGCAGGTCATCTTGGTCTTGTAGCTGGCAAAGCTTCGGCGGGCATTGCGGATGCTCCTCCCAGCCTCTGCTGCTTCAGCTAATACTGCTGCTCTTCGCTCCTTGAGATCTTCCTTTATCGCCTCTCTGCATAGCTTCAAGCTCGGACGTGAGTCGGTGATTGCCTGCAGCTCGTGCGGCTCCACGCTGGCGTATCAGTTCGAGAGTTTCCGGAGACAGACGTCCCTTGGTGACTTTCAAACTCTCTGCCTTCTTGCCACAATCGTGAAGATGTTCAACGAGCCGATAGTACTCCTCGTCGATGTTTTCGATGACGGAATCCTCCCATAAGCTGACGAGGGAAGCGAAGTGGTCCCAGTTGATGACTGTCCTGGGGCTTCGCTTCCTGAACTTTGCTGCTCTCTCAACACGCATCGAGAAGTGGAATCTTGCGCGGAGGAGACGATGGTCCGATCCCGTGTAGAACTTTGGAACAACAGCGACGTCGGTCAGGCAAAACCTTCGATTGAAGATGATGTGGTCTATCTCGTTATGGAACTGTCCATCAGGTGACTCCCAAGTCCAACGAAGGTGAGGGGCTTTTGGAACTGTGAGTTACCATGGATGGTGTTGGTCGACATGATAAACTCCGACAGTCTCTCACCCTGCTCATTCCATTCCATTCCGTGAGTACCGATGTGAAGTTCTTCAGCCGTTCTTCTTGGGCCAATCTTAGCGTTGAAGTCGCCGACGATGACCTTGAAGAAGGTATGATCTTCCCTGTAGAACTTCTCCAATTCCATATAGAATGCTTCGTGTTCTTCTTCGTCGTAGCTGGATGTTGGTGCGTAGGCGACGAAGATTGTCAAAGCAGGAGTTGAACCACATCTTCTCAATCTCAAACGTCCGATTCGGGTCGTAAGGCTTTCGTACGAATCGATGTTTATGGCCAAGTGCGTGTTGACGAGGACACCCACACCGCCAACGCCTCTGCTGTCGCATGTTCCAAGGAACAGTTCTTCTCCAGTATCGAAAACGGCGTGTAGCGGGCGGTGCCTTCTCGTCTCGGTCAGTCCGATGACGTCGTACTTGATCTTCCTGGCCTGCATCATCAGATCTTCGATGTGAGCTTCGGATGCAAGCGTTCGTGCGTTGAAAGTACAGATCGCCATCTTAGTCCTTCTTCGTTTAGGCAGCCTATCCGGGCCCTGAGATTCTAGCAGCCTCTCCCGAGCGGTCCTACCCAACGCTGCCGTATTGGGGGCTCCCTCAGGTTCAGGGGAATGAGGCCCATCCATATTGCTGTTTTCGGCATATTGAAGGCACACGAGTAGCTTGCCAGGCTCTGTCGTGCGGGCTAGGATAGACCTCCAGGTAGTTAGCCACGCTATCCTGGAGCGGAACAAAGGGGCTATTTCTTGGAGGCGGCCCCGAATCGCCTCCCATGTACTTCCCAGTCACTTGAATGCAAGCTTTTGGCTGTGCCGACATGCAGGATACCAACCGCACACACACAGAGCGCACCACACACGCAAGCATGCATGGATGCGCCTGAGTGGAGACAGCTGGTATGAATCAACACAGCGCTACAGAAACAGGGAGTCCATCCCCTGAATCCACCTGCGTCTCAGGGCAAGTACATGGTGGCTTTTGGTCCGCGATTTACCCCCTATCCGCCACCTGGGGTCGCGCCACGTAGCCTCGCCACCAACCGGCTCGAGATCTTTCAGTGAGAGAGGACCCTCAGTGAAAGAGATCCGTGGAAGGCAATGTCTCTCTAATTTCGCAAGAACGGAAAAGACGAAGACGGTTTTGGAAAGCGCAGAGTTCGCGCTTTCCAACCGTATGTTTAGCTTCCTTCTACACTTACAAGTTGAGGAGATATTTGCGTCGAGGATCTACCAAAGGATGATTCTCGGCCTCTCAAAAACGCCACTACCTTTTTCACCATTGCAAATGTAATTCGTTGGCAACGCTCGAAACCTGTCTAGAGTACATTCTTCCTACGTAAGCAATCACTAAAGGGGCAATCGTCATCATCCTATTTCGTCTCGGTATAGGCCATGCATCCGACCTTCACTCGAAGTTGCAGAATCGATTGAAAGGTGTTATATGGTGATCCTAGAGATCACTGTGACTAGGTTGACATAATCTGCAATTGCTAATTAACATTGATTCGTAACTCCTTTAACCTAAGGAGCAGCTTTATTTGCCCAGGGCCTTTCGTTCATGGTTGTCCATGGTCGGCAAATGTGGCCCCGGCTGCGGAGATACGCTTTCATTCGCTGCAACTGCGTCCCACTCATAAAGGTAAAGATTGGAGCGACTGAAACTGCAAAGAATATTTTATATCATTTTTTTCACATAACTTCGCTCTGCTGCGCTACACCCTCTTGCTCCTATCTGCACCACGATGCCACTGATGTTACTGACCCCCACGAGTACGAACCCTCATGACAGCCTGATAAGTACGACCCCCTGTCGAGGAATCCCTCGATCGACATTCACCCTGTGCCAGTGATCGTTAAATAGAAGTACCCATTATAGTATATCTCTCAACATCCATCCATCATACACTGTTGGGGACTTTGGGGGCGTTTAAACAATATTTTATGTTGATGACGACAACGTAAATGAAATGATATCGAAATGAATGCGTTACCTAGAATATGGTTTCTAGTGATCTCTATGTTCCTACGATATCGTAATTATCGGCCCTTATCAGGCCGTTATCACTTTCTGTCCCCACCGAACATGTTCCCGTCCCACCCTGTACATCACTTCTTGGAACCAACGCCCCACTGCTGCTGGGACGCGCGCTATGAATTTCGTGAAATTTGCGTTTTAGCGCCTCTTAGATCTTATCAGTCGTTATCACTTTCTGAAACCCCACCAAATGTTCCCGTCCCACCCCACAACATACTCAAAATACAGCGCTCCATGCCTGCAGCGAAGCGCGCTATGAATTTCGTGACAGAAAGGCGGACGTACACGCGAACACACACACGAACAGACACACTTAGCGAGTTATATGTTGTAGGGAAGACAATGGCAAATTTCAAGGTCCAGTCATGAGCTCTGCTCATTGTTCAGTACATGCATTTGCTGCAGTTCATTCTTGTCACCATGTTTATGCCCCACCCTGTAATTATGTACTTCCCAGATTTCTACTCAATTGAGTTCATAATATGAAAACTATACTGAGCATTTTTTCAAAATATTAGTTTTATAGAGATGTGGTTTATGAAAAGGAACGAGAACTCTGGCGGTCTACCGGTCATGGAGGACTCATCGTCGGACAGAGATGTCGAAATAGAATTAGGAATTCGCCATTGGATCCTTATTGGCATACACATTCTATCACTCATAGCAGTGACAGCCTCTCTTCATGTTCGCCTGCCGGAAGCCCAACCTGCAAGCCCAGGTAGGTCATGAAAGGGACCAACAAAAATAATAGTAATGGTGGCTCCATAAAATTGTTCATTGACGGCACGCATGCGAGCGCATACGGGTGACGTCACTTTTACGTCGCAGCGGCAGCGAGGTATCGAGCAAGAGCTAGTGCCAACACTTTAACACACTGCGCACCATTCACTCTTGCGCAGTACTTCTCTATCTTACTCTCTAACTCCACTGTATAGAGTAAGAAGTAACAACGGAGAATGGGCTTGTTGGCATAGACTTCGAAGTGGTTGCGCTTTGATAAGGGTTTCTACATGAAGGCGCTGGCTCCCTCCACATTCTCGACGGAGTCGCGATCTCCAATGGAAGAACCTACCTCAAAATAACTTTTTGCTTCTGGCACCACTAATTGCACTGGTTGGAAAAGGGTTAGCAACTCTTCCTCCATTCAACCGAAGCTCCAGCGACGCTGTCTATCTCGTCCTCTCGACGCGTCTGCTGCGGCTGTTACGTCAGTGGCACGCGCTCGTGTCCGACGCTGTCCGTGAGCTTTTATCGCCCCCTAGGAACAACTACTGATATTTTAGTGCATGTCACTATACCTATTCTGGAAGGGTGCATCACACATGGAAAACAGGTTTTTAAATGCCATTATTGCTAAGGGATCTAGCATGAGAAGGGGACAAATCTAACTTCTCAGGTCAGGGAGCGCAGCATGCGACGTTAGCGGTCAATATGAAATGGAATCGGACATATTTGGAAATCAAGCCTCACTACTGAAGTCAAATCTTTGCATGCGTTTTCTCAAAGAAGCGATTATTTTAGCGCGTATGGTTATCAATGAAACGTCAAACGTTATCAACACCTAAAAAAATTCCAACGAACTTTCACAATTCCATCAAAAAAATTTTAAAGCAGCTAAAAACCGCACCAGTACACAAGCGCCCAAAAATTACGGCAACAAGGGCGCATCTCATACAGTACTAAATATAATAAAAACCGGCCGGGAGAATAGGTTTTACGTACTCGATGCTATTGGATCAATTTTCATTCTTGAGCTTTCCACATAGATTTACCAGCTTTGTATTGGTCCAGCATTTTATAAAAAAAACCGTTGTTCCATCAAAGTGTCTGGTGATGTTAAATTGCACAGTTTTTAAATTCTGTTAAATCTCCAAAACAACCACCATCAAAAAGTCCAATGAACTGGGCAAAGGAAAAGATGGTTCCGCGAGGAGAACAGCAAAGCAAATTATCTCAACGTCCTTCAAACTAAAGTGCTTACCTGAGCCAGAGGAGGCTTTAAAAAAGTCACAGTAGCATTCCTGCAGGAACTTGCTAGAGACGAAACTTGTAGTTATATGTTGTTGCCAGCTTCCAAGAGATCATGGCATTCCAAGAGAAGTCACCTAAATTTCACTTCTCACATCTACTGGGTTACTCTGTGTGGAGTGTGTTGAAGATGAGTCCCTGCTACGGACATCACGGAAACGTTGAAGGACTCAAAAAACGCTTCGAAATGCCTGACACGGAGCCGTGGGTTTCTCTCTAGACGCCGCGGCCAGCGCTGCGGAGGGCTTCACTCGTTGGACACTGGTCACAGAAAGGAGTAAAATAGTTTTCACATTTTCTTCCGATTTCTCGTAATTAGTTAGGCTTTTCCCCATAAACCAATACCTCATACATATACTTGTATTTTTCTCATTACGATTGGTCACTGCACTTGGGTTACACGCACAATATAATTATACTATTAGGTCAATAATTATCTGCCGTTTTTGATTCACTCATAAATTTATTAACAAAACCAAACAAAAACAACAATAAATGCGTAATCAACAAACGCTCTCGAACAGTCCTCTCTGCAACCGTGCCTTCATCCCAGGCTTCATTGATTCTACGAGCAGATGCAGAAGCATTCGGTTTCGAGCTCAACTTGCACTCATGTAGCAGGGGCAATCTTTTTTGCTAGTGTGTAAGCTCCAAGTAAATACACAAGTGTTGTAAATGTACAAGAGATTGAGCGCTTTCAGACTACATCATAACCTTTGAAAATAATCAGCAAAAAATCAAAGAACCATGAGCCTGTAAAAGAGCGGCGGATAATTATTGCTCAACCTAATAATAGTCACCTCATCCTGTTAGTTTTATGAAATCGCCATTGCTTGCGTCGTCCGAAAATGGTGAAGTCTTGGTAAAATCAGTAGGAGATTTTGCCTTTTCATTTTCCAACCAACTCTCCCACGCTACAGTATATTTACAGGGGTGACTAGAAAAAGACACATTTGCACATTACACACTTCAGCAAGCTTAACCTCGTAACACTTCAGGAAGCTTCACCTCGCATAGAATGCCATGGTCTGATGATCGTAATTAAATTCTCTCGGTAGAATATTCCTAGAATGTCCCTTCATACAGAGATTCAAGCCGCAGTTCACCGCCCTCACCGTCTTCAGTATACGAAACCATTTGCCGTTGCCATCATGCCCAAGGAAGTTCATTGTGATTTCTTTCAGCCTTGAAGCCTGATTCGTTGGATCGGTTCAATAGTGAACTCTTCCTATAAACAGTAGCTCTGGTTGTGCGATTCTTGCTGGCCGCCATTTCAGACAATGTAAGAAGGAACACGATCCGTCGAGAGACACGCTGAGCTCAACTTGCATCGAGTACCAAGGCAGATTTTTCTGGTGTTACCAATGCAACCAATTAAAATTTTTTAATAGGATAGAGTGCTCTCCGGTCATCTCATGGAACCCTTTAGTTAGAGTTTTGCCGAATGTTATTAAGTCGACTCTAAAATGGAGTGAAGTGTCTTTTTTTGGTCTCCCTGTACTTATCGTTAAATAGTTAGCAGCGATTGAGCCCAAAAACTTCAAAGCTAGCATATTTTAACAGATTACATTATTGATCATTTTGACCCATTTCTTTTAGTGTTCGCTTTCCAATGTCCTTAAATTCAGACAACAGCCGCTTTTCGGAGCTGCGTGCTCGTCGGCTGGTATTTGAGATGTCAAACTTTGGTCCAAAACCGGCCGGTTCGCAGGCATGCGAAGTGTACACAAAGGGATACATTTTGAACGAAATAGAGTGAGTTTTGCTCTGTCATATAAGGTCGAAAGAAATTCTCCAAGGCAAGCGCAAGTAGTAAGAAGAATTGATCAGTCTTGTTGTTAGCCTCTAAGAGTTGCAGCTACAGTAAGGATGCGTGAGCCCACTGACATGAAGAGAACAAACCTCAACGGACCTAAGGTCCAACTAGGTGTTGAGCTGCTAACTTCATGCCGTGATTGTAATAATGCCCTCCATTGTAAAATAACTTTTTTGTACATGCATACCCTATCCACGTTGTCTTGGTGTTAAAAGTGGAAGGGACACAATGGAAGCCCTAATGGTGAAGGGAGGTCGTGGCAGTTGCCGGCAGATAATTCTGATGTTCAATAGAGACATTGCAGTACCGGATAACGTTAAGTAAACCTTCATTGCTTACTTCGCATTAGCAAGATATCGTCAGCTCATCAAATTAACATAATGGCTTGGCAATGGGCGGAATGCTCTGCACCACCTTGTTTAATCCTTTTTTGTAGATCCAAGCGTTATTGCATAGTTACCACTTCACCAACCATATATAAAATATATTTATCACACTAGCGATTCATGCGTAATGGAAATTTACCCGTATC